CCTAATTCCCTGGCACAGACGAGTGAGTGCTTCCAGTGCTTTATCGGCTTGTTGAAACCCTTTGTATGGTATTCTATCAATTCCTGGAGCCTTGTTTTTGTCTAATGCTTTCAGGGAAGCTTGAATTTTTTTCCTTCAGTACCATTGGTTCTTGCTCGTGTTACCTCTTGAAATAATTGATGGTTGACTAGTTCTTTTTGGTACAGCGACTTTGTATTCTTCCCATCTTCTTCTGATGCTTCCTGCATTGTTCAATATTGTTGCCCATAGAGTCTTTCACTATTACAACTCAAGGGTTGATTTTTTTTTTTCTTGAGTCCTTTCAGTTTAAGATGGGCTGAGCATGTTCTTCCTTTTTGGTTGTCTACCTCTAGGTCTTTGGACGTTTCATTATAATATTTTATCTTGCCTTCTCCAGCTGCCCTTTGGAATTTTCCGTTATGCTCTTTGACTTCATCATTTCTTGCATGTGCCTTATCTACTCTATGATTTCAGAGTCTCTGCTGGCATCTATGCTGAGCTTCAGTTTCTCTCCTGTCTTTTTCATGACCTTTTGCTTTCTTCATGTATGACGTTCTTGGGGCTCATCAGGCCTTCTGTCATGAGTATTAAATGTGTCAATTCTGTTCTTGAGACGTTCTCCAAACTCAGATGGGTTAGGGTTAGGCTTAGGATTTTGGCTCTCATGGGCTTGGTTTAATGTTTTTTTGCTTCAACCTGAACTTACATATAAGCAGTTGGTAGTAGTCTGTTCCACAGTCAGCCCCGGCCTGGTTTTAGCTGCTGATACCGAGCTGCTCTGTCATCTTCCCACAGATGTAGTCCATTTGATTTCTATGGATTCCATTTGGAGATGTGAAGAAGTCAGTGGGCTTGCAAAATTCTATCATGCAATCTCCAGCTTCATTTCTATCACCAAGGCCATATATTCCAACCAATGTTCCTTCCATTTAGTTTCCAATTATTCCATTCTAATCACCAATGGCTATCAATGCATCCTGATTACACATTTGATCAATTTCTGCTAACTGAAGATGTTGGTAGAATTCAATTGTTTTTATTTTTCAATCATTTTATTGGGAGCTCGTACAACTCTTATCACAATCCATACATGCCTCCATTGTGTCAAGCACATTTGTACATTTGTTGCCCTCATCATTCTCAAAACATTTGCTTTCTACTTGAGCCCTTGGT